AGAGAGGAAGAGAGAGGGATAGAGAGTCAGAAACATCAATGAGAGAGAAACATCGGTCAGCTGCCTCCTGCACACCCCCTACTGGGGATGAGCCTGCAACCAAGGTACATGCCCTTGACCGGAATTGAACCTGGGGATCTTTCAGTCCCCAGGCCGATGCTCTATCCACTGAGCCAAACCGGTTACGGCCAGTTATATTTTTAAAACATAAACTTATCAAGTGAAATTTCATTTAATTTATCGTGATTTTAACCAATTACTTGAATAAACTATTTTTTTAATCCTTGTCGAAACAAGGCCACCGAAAATTAGGTTGCCTCACCCCCTACCCCCCAAAAATGGGAGAGAGGATGAATAAACTACTTTTTTAGTTTATTAAATAGTAAACTATCAAGCCATTGCCCCATGGTTTTAGAATTTCACATCTCTAGGTTTGACAATGAAATAATCTATATTTCATAGAAAGGCTCATAAAATTAGTCATCTGAAACGGAAAGCTTTTTGCTGCTATTTTGGCACTAAAACAGCCAAGAAAATTGATTCAGCAACCTATGAAGAAAGAGCTTGAGAATTGTCTTTAATTCTACAATGGTTTTCTATCTTTTGTTTCCAAGGAAAATATTATTGAGCCATTTTTAGTAAAAAGTGAATTATTTCTCTAGTAAGGTTGATGGAGCCATACCAATCCTTTTCAAACATAAAGGTAAAAGTACAACAAAATGATTTTTCAATCTTAATTTTTATAAGCCTGTATGATATGTTTTATAGATAAGTTATTGAAACTTGAATTTAAAAAATAAAGCCATACCCTTCATCAGGTCTGGGTTGTTTGGGGAAGAAAGAAGTGAGATTGTAGTAATTGCTATTAGATCTAGGAATGAATAGGTATTTGTACCACTGCCAACAGGTTTAAACATTTGACATCTTTTGTTATTAAAGATCAATATGGTGCTTCCTGATTATATCAATTTATAAAATAATCCACATTTGTGGTTCCAGCTGCTCCTAAAGAACTGACAGACCTGGCCAGGTAGCTCACTTGGTTAGAGTTTTATCCTGATATGCCAAGGTTGTGGGCTTGATCCCCAATCAGGGCACATTCAAGAATTAACCAATGAATGGAAAACAAATTCATGGTTTTTTCCCCCTCTCTTTTCCTTTCTCTCTCTCTCTCTCTCTCTCTCTCTCTCTCTCTCTCTCTCTCCCTCTCCCTCTCCCTCTCCCTCTCCCTCTCCCTCTCCCTCTCCCTCTCCCTCTCCCTCTTCCTCTCTCCCTTCCCCTTCTCCCTCTCCCCATTCCTTCTCTCTCTAAAATGAGTTAAAAAAAATTGACAATTTACCCTGCAGTCCAGTCATTTGCACTGCTAGATTTAACTACAGTGGGTTCTCTAGAGCTTTAACTCTGTTATTACAGAACTATTACCATAAACATTTTGTTCATTTTAGCTGAATACTAGGAAAAATGTTTAAATATTTAATTGAGCCTGAAAACAAGCCATATAGTTGAAACTCTAATCCAGTCAGAATGTTTTAAGAGTAGGAGGAGAAAATTGGTAGTTAGGCTTTTCTTGTAGAAAGTGAGAATATTTTATTTGGTTTTTATTTTCACTATAATCTCATATCATAGCCCAGCTCCACCAAGAATATATGCAGTGAGTCACTCTCCCATAGATATCCTTCAGCATGAACTGGAATATTTGTAGCAGCTTACAGCTACTATTAGAAAATTCAAGTATTTTTTGAAGACTATGACCATTATGGTAGGTTTGCAAGTGTTAATGCTAGCAATCCTCATATTTCAGTAATTAAGTTGATCTTTGTTTAGGACCAGGATGACATTTTCTTGCAGCATTCCTCCTACATGGACCAATTAGCGTTTTTTAGTGTGTGTGTGTTTTTTTTAAATGATTAGGTATATTATAGAATAGGATTTTTCTCTCTGAACCCCAAACATACTATCAGGATATTAAATTGGAGCTTAATACTGTTATTCATTCTCTTTGGTGGTGTATATAATTGTGATAGGAGTCCTCAGAGGAATCTGGTTGAATCTGAAGAACTAGTGAACCCCTGCTCCCAAGTATTCATTTACATGAGTTGATATGTACGGATGAAGGGGTTTGTAGTTTTGTGTGTACAGATCCTCAGAGGTAGAAGAGGAATGACAGGGAGATGAAGACATGGAGAGGAAGGAAAGGAAAATTATCAAAAGATGTAGGACTTCCCTATATTAAAAATGAAGATTCTTCTTGTTGGAAACATGATGGGCTGTATATATAAATGTCTGCAAAGGGTTGTAAGGGCTCCTTAAACACTGTGTTTTGTTCTAGAAGAATGGACTTTTCTTTTGATGCTTGCAGAAAAGCTAGTGGTTCCAGACTGAACCAGAAACAGCTCTTAATACTGAAAATGAAGTACAAGGAAACCCATGAAGTACATATTAAAGCCCTTCGGCTCTATTTAGGACAATATGGACAAACTTTAGGGGAAATTTCACAATGGAAGTTGTTCTTATTCCTTTTTTTTTTTTTTTAATTTGGATGAGGAAAGTGGGGGAGAACTTCCTAGAAGTTTTGATCTTTTTACATTTTGGAGGATAGCATGTTGGAAGATAAGTTCTAGTGGCAATAGTGGGGAATCACCTAAGAGAAGAAAGTAGACAAAGCTGGTACATGAGCCAGAAAAGACATGGTCAGTTATATACTGATGGATGTAGATGGTCTGTATTCTGTCAAGGAACCGAGGGCTTGACTTGTTTCTCTAGTCAGGATCTAGAAATTCAGAGGGTGCCTTAAAAGGGAGCAGGGGATTGCAAAAAGACAAGATTGAAACTTGCTTCTCATTATCAAGCTCCTCTTTGACACTTCCTGAATTACATGCAGTTTCAACAAAGATTAGACTGCTGCTAACATGTCTGCAGGGGACCCAGATTACTTGACGTTTAACCCAGCAGAAAAATTTAGCAGGAAAATTTATCTGGAGAATGTTTAGATTTTGAGTAGTGGTAGATACACCTTCTCTCAAGTGACTGGGCATAAAGTGGAGATGTCTACAGAGAGTGTAGAGCAGAAGCACATGGAAGGGACTGATCATTGAGGACTCCCAGAAGTAACTAGGGAGACTTGTAGGTGGAGTGTTAAATCCTGAAGCTTGACACTGAAGGTTTAGAACCAGCAAAATGTGGGGCCAAAGCAATTTAACTCTGCGAGGTCTGGGGAAAATCAGACTACTAATAGAAAATTCATGTTTTTTTCAAGGTTATGACCATTGTGGTATTTTGCTGTAACACAAAAAACCTGAGGCCTGAACTCTACTCTCTGGTTGCATAGCTATCTTTTTTTTTTTTTTATTTTTTTATTTTTTATTACGTAAGGTTTTCTTTTATTTAAAAGATCATTCACAAAATACCATATCCATAGATTTACTTTCTGTCATATAGTTGAATGTGTTAAGTGTTTGGAATTCCATTCTTACATTTAAAAGTCAACTGGCCGAGACCGGTTTGGCTCAGTGGATAGAGCGTCGGCTTGCGGACTGAAGGGTCCCAGGTTCGATTCCGGTCAAGGGCATGTACCTGGGTTGCGGGCACATCCCCCAGTGGGAGATGTGCAGGAGGCAGCTGATCGATGTTCCTCTCTCATCGATGTTTCTGACTCTCTATCTCTCTCCCTTCCTCTCTGTGAAAAATCAATAAAATATATTTAAAAAAAATAAAAAATAAAAATAAAAGTCAACTGGATTGCCCAGAAGTGTAGATGAATTTGTTTTGTTCTTAATCTTTTCCACATTGAAGATATAAGTAGGTCATCTGAAAGCATCAGGTTTGGTTACAACCACATAATGCATGTCTTTCTTAAGTTAAGTATTGGTGTTACACAAATGGTTCTTATTTCAGAAGCAAAGATGACAGGTGGAAGGAAAGAAGGGAGAGTTCTGCAAACGGCTGAGACCTTGTAACAAAGACAGAGTAGACACCAAGGACACCAGCGAGGGACTACCTACTATCTGAGCACACTGCGCTGCGGAGGCCAGGACTCCCCTCAGCCCTCCAGCACGCTGGTGAGGGCCTTTTTTCTCTACCGCTCTAGCTGCTGGCTGACCCTGAATTTCTCCCAATAAAACGAGTGGGACTCAGGTGCTGATGAATTTGATTTGTCCACACATGGGTGTTCAAGCTCAAAAGCTATTGCCTAGACCCCTAGTCCTGGGTAAATGCTGAACACTGTATGTGGGAACAATGAACTTTGTCCCAAAGATGAGACCTAGTAACTTACAGCCACCTACCAATTATTTTAAGGTTCTTGATAGCTATATATAGTAAAATTCTCAATTCATCAAGTGAAACAGAGTAAAGTGCCAGATTCTAGGCCCATTTTAATTTTCATTATAAAAGTAAAGGATGGTGGGAAGCACAGTATCTCATTGTTAAACTAGGAAACAGATAAATGCAAGGGAGAGATGCAGAATACACAGATAACAGGGATTTGGAAAAAGCAATGTTCACACTATAAAGTGAGCCCAGCACAGCTCTACCACCCCCTCCCACCCCTACCCTTTAGTCCCCCAAAGCACCTGTGCCCAGTAGAAAGGAAACCAGCAGCAGGCAGTTCGGTACATTCAGCCAGACAGAGGAGCCTCTCGTACAGCTGGTGAAGGAGGGAACCAGTTTGGACAGTGTTGAAAAAGCAGTAAAACATGTGAACACAGTAGTGCATTCAACGGATCCTCTCGTGTAAACTCCCTACTAACATCTCACACTACCCTTTAGGTTTCACTGTTCAAAATTGGAACCTATTCAAATAATCCATCTGGGGAGGGGGCCATAGAGACAGGACTACCTATAAACAGGATGGGAGGAAATCTGCAAGAATCAACAGACATTTTATCCTTGTTTTGAAAACAAGGTGTTTCAAAATCTGTATGTTGATCAAAGCTGAATAATAACAAGATGCTATCCAATTTGTGACTTCTTTTCTGTTACTTATTTATTTTCATTTTGTGTATGTGTATGTGTATGTGTATGTGTATGTGTATGTGTATGTGTATGTGTATGTGTATGTGTATGTGTATGTGAAAGCCACAGAAATACAGAACTCAACATGCAGGTCGGAAGAGAAGCACTAAAAAAAAAAAAAAATCAAAGGAAGTGACTGGAGTCTGGCCAGTGTTTAAAGTAAAAAGAGAAAGCGAAGGAGAAAAATGAAGCAGCACCTCAATTCGAAGAGCTCCCCACATGGTGGCTGCCTTTTGTCCCTTTCGAGAAACTCATGTGCTGGAAGGAAACAAGGAACAAGAAGGAAAAAGGACAGAAGGAAATGGGGAAAGGAGTGGCAGAAAAGAAAAAAAAAAAAGCACGAAACAGGCACTAGATACAGCAAAGCCAAGAATGTACTAAAAACCACTTGTTAACTGCTGACATGCACTCACAAGCTCTGTGTTTCCTTTGTAAGAAAGGAGGACAAAGGTCAGGCGCAGGAATGGTAACTGCAGGACTGCCGGTCCAGGGGGCTGCCAGGCTTCGGTCTTGCTCTAACTGCCCCCATACCCCATTCCCTCCCAACCGCCAGCTCATTCTTGCTCCTTGTGAACAACTTCCTCTCTGGGCCGGGCTCCCCCGAAGATAGCAGAGTTGGGATTGGCTACTTGGTTGAGGGGTGTTGCAACTGTTCGAGGTTTAAGCTGGAGCCGTGGTCTCTGTGCTCTTTCCTCTTCTGTTGGTTCTCTGAAATCCATATTGGGCCCTCGGAGGGGAGGGCCATCTCTGAAACGACTCCCCATTGGGGGGCCTGTTCGCCGATCACCGGGGCGACTCCCGCCCCTGCCTCCTAAGAAGTCGTCCCTGAAGCCGGAATTGAAGTCATCCTGGGACTCCCATGCACCTCTAGATTCTCGAGGGCCACCCATTCCTCTGTCATCTGGTCCACCTTTCCTGAATCCAAAGCCACCTTTATCTTGTTTTCTGCCTTCTGCAATGTCCACACGAAGTGACCGATCACCCAACAGTGCGCCATCGTATGTCAAGGCTTCCTTAAGGGAATCCACCTCGTCAAATTCTACATAGCAGAATCCTTTGAATTTGTCTGTGTCTTTGTCTCTGACTAGTCGTACGCTCCTTATGCTGAGATCCTTAAAGATAGCATCTATGTCGCCTTGAACCGTATTAAAAGGTAGATTTCCGACATATGCTGTGTAGGGGGGCTCTGTGGGCAGCTCCTTCTGGGTGCGGGAACCATGGCCACCAGCAGTGCCGCGAGACCCTCTGCCGCCGCCGAAGCTGCTGTAGGCCCGGTCGTCGTAGGTATCGAAGTCCGCCATTTGCCGTCTCCGCTCCGAAAGGAACCCTGCATAGCTATTCTTGATTAAAACTGTCATGCCTGCTATAGCGACAGCATAATTATTTTATTTCCTTAATTGTGAGACGCAATCAATTGTAAGACATCTTTTAAGTAAAAGGTTTCTAGGAGGAATACCTATACCAAATTGTACATTGATTTTAAGATGTAATCCTAATTTTACAAGCATTAAAATTTCACATAATAATAAGCATTTTAGAATTGAAGAAACACTGTAGTAATGCAGCAACTACAAACAGTAATGACTGCTTGATTCTTCTACTGGAATTCAGAATGGACTGTAGAGTTTCCTCTTTCCTTTCTGAATGAAAAGACAGAAGGAAATTAGCATTTATTATGTATCTTCTATAATAAAAACAATGGAAATGTCTAATGTTTATTGACTGCTTATCATGTGCCACGAATTGTTCTAGGTGTTTTCACATTTTATTTTATTTAATCCTCATGATATTCCTGAAAGGTAGGTATTAGAAATACTGTTACCCTCTGTGAGACTCAATTTCCCCATTTTTGAAGATTAGGAAACCAAGATGCATAGAGAATAACTTGTCTGAGGTCACATAGTTGTTAAGTAAGAAACTTAGGAGATTAATCTATAAACTCAGGGCTACTTAGGTTGTTTATTTTTTAAATTTCTAAATTATTTATTTATTTATTTATTTATTTTAATTAATTAAATCTTTATTGTTAAGATTATTACATTTGTTCCTCTTTTTTCCCCCCATAACTCCCCTCCTCCCAGTTCCCGCCCCACTCTCCGCCCTCACTCCCTACCCACTGTCCTCATCCATAGGTGCACGATTTTTGTCCAGTCTCTTCCCGCATCTCCCACACCCCTTTCCCCCCCAAGAATAGTCAGTCTATTCCCTTTCTATGTCCCTGATTCTATTATGATCACCAGATTATTTATTCACTTGATTCTTAGATTCACTTGTTGATAGATGCATGTTTTTTGTTCATAATTTGTATCTTTACCTTTTCTTCTTCTTCCTCTTCTTAAAGGATACCTTTCAGCATTTCATATAATATTGGTTTGGTGGTGATGAACTCCTTTAGCTTTTCCTTATCTGTGAAGCTCTTCATCTGACCTTCAGTTCTGAATGATAGCTTTGCTGGATAAAGTAATCTTGGTTGTAGGTTCTTGGTATTCATCACTTTGAATATTTCTTGCCACTCACTTCTGGCCTGCAAAGTTTCTGTTGAGAAATCAGCTGACAGTCATATGGGTATTCCCTTGTAGGTAACTGAGTTTCTTTCTCTTGCTGCTTTTAAGATTCTCTCTTTGTCTTTTGCTCTTGGCATTTTAATTATGATGTGTCTTGGTGTGGTCCTCTTTGGATTCCTTTTGTTTGGGGTTCTCTTTGCCTCCTGGACTTGTAAGTCTATTTCTTTCACCAGGTAGGGTAAGTTTTCTGTCATTATTTCTTCAAATAGGTTTTCAATATCTTGTTCTCTCTCATCTTCTGGCACCCCTATAATTCGGATGTTGGTACGCTTGAAGCTGTCCCAGAGGCTCCTTACACTATCTTCGTATTGTCGGATTCTTTTTTCATTTTGCTTTTCTAGTTGGGTGTTTTTTGCTTCTTTGCATTTCAAATCTTTGACTTGATTCTTGCGCTCCTCTGGTCTGCTGTTGGGTGTCTGTATAGTATTCTTTATTTCAGTCAGTGTATGCTTAATTTCTAGTGGGTTCTTTATCACAACATCGAGGATCTCATTAGATTTCTTGAGGATCTCACTACATTTATCGGTGGTCTCACCAGTCTTTTCGAGGGCCTTTCTAAGTTTATCGGCAGCTTCTAGACAGTTCTTGAGAGACCTTAAAAGTGTGATTTTGAGCTCTATATCTTCCATTTCTGAGATTTGCGTCCTGTTTCTTTGTCTCCACATTTTTTTTTATCTTTTCTTGGTGCACCCCCGAGTGGTCTTTGAGCGCAGTCTTGTTGTAGTTAAGCCTTGATTGTTGTCGGCAATACCGGGGGTGATTTGACCTCCAGGCTAACTGGCTATGAGAGTCAGCTGTGTCTGCAGTGGGAGAGCTTCTGTGCTGGATCTCTAGGGCTGTGCTAATCTAGTGTTTGCCTGAGGCTATCCGGCAAATGGCTCTTCGCAGGGCTTGGGCGGGGCGGGTCCCTGGGGGATCAACAGGGTGGGCCAGAGAGAGCAGTTATGGCGGCTCTCAGTTCCGTCCCTAGGGGCTCTGCCTCTCAGAGTGCCAGCAACCGCTGCAAACCTCGGAGAGAAAGCTGCCTTTGAGTTCCGACTGAAGCCAGACAGTCCCACTTCTCCTGTTTGAGTCTGGGTCCCTAGAGACTCGCCCAGATCTGGAGCTCAGAGTCTGAAACTCCCTCCCAATTGAAAACAACAACCGCACCCTCCGCCGCCAGCCCGCTCCGCGCGCACTCCGCAACTTAGTATTTCACTTCAGCACTGCGCCTCCTCTGAGTCTGGGTATGATATTCTCTTTCCTCCTAGTTGTAGAATTTCCACTCAGCCAGCCTTCCTGTGGTTCTGGATGATGTCCGTTCCGTCTTTTAGTTGTATTTTTGATTGGTTGTTCAAGGCAGCAATCTCCGGCGCTAACCTATGCCGCCATCTTTGGTTGTTTTTTATAAAGTTCATGTTTAGCTCTTTCTTAAAACTGAAATAAAGCATATGAACAAAAGTATATATGTACCTTTAAAAATTATAAATGTAAATAACTAGGAACTCACCACTCAAGTTAGAAATAATATGTTTCCAATATTTTTGAAATTTACTGCATGTCCTTCTCTTTCTATCTCCCCAGTTAGCCTCTACTCCAAATTTTGGGGAAGTCATTTCTTCTCTTCTTTGTAAGTTTTTAACACCTATGTATGTATCTATAAATAATGCATTATTTAGTTTTGCCTGTTTTGGGACTTATTTATATATTTTAACTTAGGTATAATTGACATATAACATGTTAATTTCAGGTGAAATGATTCAATATATTTGTATATATTATGAAATGATCGCCATAATAAGTCTAGTTAATATCTGTCACCATTTTTTTTTAAATATGTATTTTATTGATTTTTTACAGAGAGGAAGGGAGAGAGATAGAGAGTCAGAAACATCGATGAGAGAGAATCATCGATCAGCTGCCTCCCGCACATCTCCCACTGGGGATATGCCCGCAACCCAGGCACATGCCCTTGACCGGAATCGAACCTGGGACCTCTCAGTCCACAGGCCGACGCTCTATCCACTGAGCCAAACCGGTTTCGGCAACCATTTTAAAAAATATATTTTTATTGATTTCACAGAAGAAGGGAGAGAAAGATAGAAACATCAATGATGAGAGAGAATCATTGATTGGCTGCCTCCTGCATGTCCCCCACTGGGGATCGAGCCCACAACTTGGGCATGTGCCCTGATTGGGAATTGAACCGTGACCTCCTGGTTCATAGGTTGAAGCTCAATCACTAAGCCATGCTGGCTGGGCTGGGGCTTCTTCTTGAGCTAACAAAGGGGGTCCCCTCCTATTATTTCAGGATTTAGTCAGAGTTGTTTTTTCAAAATCTAATATATTACTGAATAAAATTCCATGTTGCACTTTCCAGCCTGGAAAGACTGTATAAAAGGTCTCTTTTGTATAGTAGTAACTGTAATGAACAGGAAATATGGAAATGCCGCTTAGAATAATCAGTACCGAACTTTTAAAATGTCCTTAAGGTGAGGGTAGAGCACAAATCACATCCTTGTTGATAAAGAAAGAGATGGATAAATTCATATTATTTTCAGTTGCCTTCAGGACTTTTGGCTAGATTCCAGAAGACTTTGCCCAAGATCAACAAGATAAAATCCATCCTCTTTGCCTGGAGTACCATAAGTCCTCTGGCATGGGAAAGAAAACCTCTTGTTTGGTTTCCTCTTTGTGTTTTTCTGACATCAGCTGCTATTTTGTTCAACATCTCACCAATAAATACCTCAAGGGATGGGTGGTGAAGGGAAGTAAATATCAAATTACTTTGTTACATACTTTATAAAAAAAAATCCTTACCGGAGAATAGGTTTATTGATTTTTACAGAGGGAGGAAGATAGAAAGAGAAACATCAATTGGTTACCTCTCATACACACCCCCTACTGGGGATCAAATTCACATCCTAGGTATGTGCCCTAACCAGGAACTGAACCCACAACCTTTTGGTGTATGGGACGATGCTCCAACCAACTGAGCTGTCCGGCCAGGACCTTTGTTACATACTTAAAAAAAACCAAAACCTTTTGATTTTAACCAGTTACCTGCCATGATATTTTGAATTTAATTATAAAAGATCCGCCCCATGTGTCTATAGACACCTATGGTGTACAAATGGTTAAGTATCTTATTATATTTTGTATTTTATATTTAAAATCCAGGAAGCATAGCATGCCCATTATATTCCCTTTCCCCTCTACTTCCCCTACAGGCCCGTATCTCCTAAACTCCAAGGGACCCCACAAGACTTGCAACCAGGGGACCAATGGGCAGTGGCAGCTCATCCCAGGATAATCCCCTGAATCTGTCTCCGAGGCACTCTTTTTTTCTGACTTCTCAGAAAGTCAAAACAGCCCAGCCTAGACTCTCCTGTTGCTTCTTCTATGCCCTTCCTTGTTTCACTGTCCTAATTGTGTTTTTGTTGTGGTCAGTAAATTCTTGCTTGCTTTTCTAACTGACTAACTAAATTAATTAAATAAAATAATTATTTATTTTTCAATTACAATTGACTTCCATTATTATAGTAATTTCAGTGTACAACCTGATTGGACATTACTAGTATGTAACTTACTAAATGATCATCCCAATAAATCTTGTGCCCATCTGATACCATACATAGTTATTAGAATATTATTGACTATATTCCCTATGCTGTACTTTACATTCCTATGATTATTCTTTAACAACCAATTTGTACTTCTTAATCCCATCACCTTTTTCACCCATCCCTCCAACTCCCCTCCCATCTGGCAACTGTCAAAAT